AGGAGGTCAGAAGATGCAGCCTCCCTGCCCCTTTAGCACCCCATAACCATGGTTCCAAGCCCATGGGCCCAACAACTTGCTCCCTTAGGGTGGTTGGCTGCACCCAAAGTTATCATAGTTTTGCCCCATTAGCTCTATTACACACATGGACATTCTTACATCACATACAAACACCTGTGTAGAAGTATCTTCTGCGAAACACATACATGCCTCTGGATCCCTGAGAGCTCTCTTTACTGTCTCTTTTTCTGTTTACCCTTTACTTCCTCTCTTGTACTTTGGACGCGTTATCAGGAGGCCAGTCCATGGAGGAGGACGTTATGCTCGGCAAAGCAGAGGGTCAAAGAGAAAGAGCCCAACAAGACGGACTGACGTGCTGGCTCCAACGATGGGCTCAAGGACGGCAGCGACCAGGGGGGCGGCCCAGAACAGGTGGCGTTCCGTCTGTTGTACGCTGGGTCACTATGAGTCAGAACCAACAGGGTCGCACCTAACAATGCTACGCCACTGGCCGATGCTTTGTCCTTCTAGTCCCGTTGCAGTCAGTCATTCTTTACAGGAACGCACTCTTGCTTGAATTCCTGTGGGGCTCCCCTCTCCTGACTAAACCGAGTGGCTCACAGACTGTAACATGAAACGGACTCCAGCCTGATGCCCCGAGATCCCCTGAAGACACCTGGCCCCGTTCCTTTCACCACAGGCCCTCAGGGATGGCCTGGCAGTCTGGTCTGGGCTCTGCCATTTGCAACTGAGCTCCTGGGTGACTGGTCCTCTTCATGGCCACATACAAACCGGCTCTACAAAAGCTCCAGGTGCCCAGAAACCCAACTGCCGTTGGCATGTGCTAAGGCTCACCAGGTAGACGCCATACCTGCCTGATACTCAAGCTTCTGGATGCAGTGTGGACTAAGTCACCCTTTTTCCACAACTCATAACCAACTGTGTTTACTCAGGCAATTTGGGCATACGCCAGGCAGGACTTGTCCCTTCTCTGCTGAGCGCTCCAGGTGATGCTCTGATTGTGGTGAGTTGGTGGAACCTGTACACACTGGGTAGAGTCCTTCTCAGGGGAAGGGGTGGCAATTGGCAGGAGCCTGCTGGGCTTCCTGGGAGTGGTGGCCACTTCTCAGGCCATGCTCAGCCCCACAAAGCCAGGCAGAGGTAACCCTGCCATTCTGGAGCAGACCCTTGACGTGGGAAAAGAGCACTGTTATGACAGAAGTCTTAGGGACTGAGGTGAGGTACATGTCTCCATGCTTGTGTTCAGGTATGAAGGTGACAACATCTGTATGCAAGCAGGTGCTCAGCCATGGGCAAGTCTGCCCATGGGAATGACCAACGGCCTCTCACCAGCTAAGCCGGGTAACTCCACCCAGCAGGGAAGTGTCTCCCCAAGAGACCAGAAGGCCTCTGAAGTCCCCAGAACCCCTGGAGGACCACTTCAGGGTACTCACTCATTCCCATTAATGCTGCTGGGACTTGTGAACTCTCTTGTCAAGTGCTTGGCTATCTCCCCGAGCACTCGCTGACCCCCCCTCTTCACTCTCCTGTCAAGTGCTCTTCTATCCTTCCCGAGCAGCCACCAACCCTCCATTCACTCTCCTGTCCTGGGCTCTTCCATCCTCCCTGAGCACTCGCTGACCCTCCGTTCACTCTCTTCTCAAGTGGTCTTCCATCCTCCCTGAGCACTCCCTGACCCTCCGTTCACTCTCAAGTGGTCTTCCATCTTTCCTTAGCACTTGCCAACCCTCTATTCACTCTCCTGTCAAGTGCTCTGCCATCCTCCCACTAAGAGTGCTGGATGAAGGGATCTGACAGAGAAGACAACAAACACCCTGGAACTGGAACCAGAGGAGGATGGCTGTCATAAGCAACAGCTCAGGAGATGGACCTGGCAAGGCTGAGGCTGAGGGGCTGCTGGGGGCTGGTATAGGCTTCTTCATCTGGCAAACAGCCTTAAAGGAATCCAACATGCTGAACCCACTGAGTGGGGTCCTCTTCCTATCTCCTTGTGTTTACCAGGTTTGACGCCCAGCAAGGTTGCCTGAGGCCTTCAGCTCCACCCACACACCCTGCCATGGTGCTTTCTCCTCTGATGTGCAGGAACATAGCTGGGCAGGGCCTCGTCTCTGTGGCACCCAGAGGACAAACATCACCTCAGCCTCCCCAGAAGCAGGCCCAGAACAAGTGACCCACAAGCGAGGCCCACAGTGCACTCAGCACTGCCAACAGCCCCGGGGATGAGTAGCTGGAGCCTGTGATGTCCTCTGGGCAGCTGGGAGCCACCTCCACTTGGAACTGTAGTTGGCACTGGACACATAGGCGGTGGGGGGTGGAGTTGGCTTTGACAGAAATGGGACCAGGAGACAGAGAGACATGCACGGGGTCTGGGCTCTGTTTCAAAGTCTGGAACAAGCTGGAGTTCTTGAAGCCAGCTGAGTCTGAGACAACTTCACCAAGTGCACTCGGGGCATTTGACTTAAACATGTGCTCCTGGAGGCGTCAAGGACCAAACCATATGTGACCTTCCCTGTGCTGTCTCACAAGATCTCTCAGGAACAGGAAGCATCGTCTCTGAGCCCGATGTTACAGTGGGGTCTCTTGGCCAGAGAGCCTGGAACCTGCAGAATGCTCCCTCCCTCAGGATGCAAGCAGACAGCCACATGCATGGGAACAGGACGACGGAGTAGGCAGGGCACAGGGCACAGCATGCAAGGGCCAGGCAGCACAAGGACCACCAGAGCCACCTTCAGCCCAGCTGTGCAAGGGCTCCACAGGCAGCCAGCGTGGACCACGAGGGTCCCCTCACCCTCGGGGACGAATCAGGCCAGGCACCAAGCCGGTTACCTATTCATCTCAAGGTCATTCAGGCGGGCAGAGAGGTCCTCAAGGCGGTTGATCTGTTTGTGGCACTGGCTACAGTAAAACTCAAATGCCTCGTCAGTGAGAATGCTGTGCAGTTTGGCGCCAAGTGGGTCGGAGCTGGAGAGATGAGAAGCCAGTTCAGGAGAGGCCAGAGCCTTCAGGGGTCTAGGGGTCCCATGGAGGCTGTGTCTCAGGCAAGGGGCTGGCCAGAGTGTGTCAGGACACTTCGCTGTGGAGGCTCTAGCACCCAGACTGCACAGCCCCCCTCTGCTGCTCACTCCTTGGCCTTGGCAGGCGAGGTGTACCAGCTCAGGTAACAGAAGGCTCGGTGCACGCATGGCCCCTCCTGGTCAGGTATTTGAGAAAGGCAGGTGCAGCCCCAGAGCTCCCCTGGAAAGCAGGCCAAGTCTGATTTTAAGAAGGGGTGTGATGAACACACAGATGGCTTTGCAAACACACACAGGTGTGGTGCCAAAGTGTGTGTGCAGGTGTGTCTTCACTCACGCTATGAAACTCCTTCACAGCTACTCTGTGACCTCCAGTGTCTCAGCTGGCATGCAAGGGGCATTGCCAGCAACCCTCAGGAAAGACTCAGATGTCAGCTTTCTGTGCTGCCATGATGGGGTTTAAATGGGCTTCAGGGCACTAAGCCAATGGCTACGGATGATGAAGGCTAGAGGAGGCAACATCGGGCATCAGGACCTACCGGCTTTGGGAGGCTAATTCGGAAGAAAGGTTACAAGTGAAACACAAAGGTAGCCCAAGAGTGACACTTTGCACTGCAACCACTGGACGAGAGAGAGGGACATGTCACACAAACAGGCAGAGGTCACAACGTGGGACAGGAGTGCGAGGGTGAGTTCTGAGCATCAGCGTGAAGGTGGCAGTGGGGAGGAACACTGTTGAGTCAGTGCCCAGTGTCCCCTGTGGATGAGCTCCACTCCAGGGAACTCACAGGAGAACACAGGGCAATGGGTGCTCAGGTGGGACCCTAGACCCTGACCTATAGCATACAAGGAGGCCCCTCCTGGCACTGGCCTTCCCGGCTGTGGTGACAACCTGGGCTAAGGACGCCTCTCGGAGTCACTGGCATTGTGAGACAGAGAATCAAAGAACTAGGAAGAAAGGGGAGAGGTATGGGCACAAGCTGCCAGCCAGGTAAGGTCTCACGTTAAGCCAGCAGAGGTCACCAGCGGGCTAAGCACAGGTCCCAGGTTTTCTTTATAGTCCCTTGTTTGGGACAGAAACACTATCCTCCTGGCCTGCTTTTCACTCCTCCAGGAAGGCAGCCTCTGGAGCAGGTAGGAGAGCCACCTCCACAGGTTGAGTGAGGGTGTCTTCTCCTTCAGCTCAAACCAGAACTTGCCAGGCAGCTTGTCTCTAAAGCGTCAGCTGTGAGTCTAAAGCCTTCCTCAGAGTCCCTGTGGACCAGAATGTGAACCCACCCACACACTCAGGACAGCTGGGGACCTGCTGGGTAAGTGGTACCTCAGCCCACTTCCACTCAGTAAAAGTTCACAGATCTGGAGCATGACTTATTTACTCCATCAAATAAAGCAAGTTTTCTCTGTCTACTTACTAACCAAAAAGGGGATCAAGGGGTCGTTACCTGGGGGTGAGCAGGGTGGGGCCACCACAGCTGTCCTCCCCATCGTACAGCACCTCCAGGGACAACCCGCCCTCGCCGCCCTCGCCATAGTCCTCGAAGTACTCTTCACCGCCAGTCACTGTGACGACAGGTGGGCTGTGTGCGTGGGGTCTGCAAGGGCAAAGCAGAAGAGACCAGGGTGATCGAGGGGCCCCAAAACGAAGGGGCTGGTGGCCAGAGTGCTCCTGCACAAACACCTGTGAGCTACACATGCGTCCCGAGGTCCCAGGGGCCATGTTGAAGAAGAATGGGACCAGGTAAGGCAGGTACTGAGCCTGACACTCCTTTTCTCCATCATGAGTCTCTGAAGTCTGGATGTACCATGCATCCCACCCACCCTGACAGCCATCAGCCACACTTTCAGGGCTCGAAGGCCTCCTGGCTGATGGCTGCTGCACCTTCAGGGCAAATGCACCCCACACCTCTGGGTGGGGGCCGCTGGCTCTCATAGCCCTGACAAGTGTGAGCTCAATGCTATGCTTTCTTTAGACACACCCGAGCACAGGAAGCCAAGAGGCTCCAGCATGCCCTCCTGACAACGAGAGCCACCGTCCTTGCTTACTTTCTGATTCCTCTGGAGAGCAGAGCAGCAGGGTCAGGGACCCAGAGTGGCCACCACAGCCACTGTCCCCACCCCAGCCACCTGGCCACCAAGGTCATCCTGGTCACTATGGCCACTGCAGCCATCAGAGGCTAAATCAACCCAGTGGCTCTCTCTTCCAGGGCAATGAAACAGTGTTGAGCTCTACAGCTGCCCTGCTCAGGCTGCAATGAAAACTCTTTATATTCATCCAGACAAGAACTGAGAGAGGGTAGTGCCCACTCCCAGCAGGGAAGAAAGCGGCCTGGAGAGGAGCTGCCCCCTGGGTGGCAGGCAAGCTAGGAGACAAGCCCGCCCCTACAATGCACAGCTCATAGCACAATGTCTACTGGCAAGAGGGCAACAGTGTATATTCTGCTAAATTGCTGCTACCTGCATACACAGACGTGACGATGACTCCACTGCTCTTAGTGATTTGATGGTCCTGTGCTGTCTGCGGTCCCCCCTCTTACACAGGAACAGAGGGTGCTTCTCAGCCACCGTTGTGACTTAGGTGAGACTGTCCTCTGTCTTGGGGACAGTGGTAACTTTCTCAATGTGCCCAGATCCCAGGAAGAGAGGCGGGTGCAGCTGCAGAAGTTGCACACAGCTCTGGGGCCCAGAGAAGGCCCCTATCTGCTGCCTGGACACATTCCCAAGGGCAGCTTCCCTTACGTGTGACAGGACACTGATGCAGCTACATGGAGAAAGGTCCTCAGAGCCACCTGCGCCATCCTGTGTGACCCCGTTCACATGAGCCAGTGCAGAGACAGATACAGACAGGTGGTGCCTAGGGCTAGGAGGTGGGGATGGGGGGTGACTGCTATGAGTGTGGGATTCCATCTGGGGAGACGACAGTGTTTTGAAACTAGACAGAGATACACGGCCCCTTTTGGGGAGATGAGAACATTCTGGAACTAGACAGAGGTGTGAGGCTCCATCTGGGGAAATGAGACTGGTCTGTTCTGCAGTAGACAAAGCTATGGGGCTCTTTTTTTGGGGATGAAAATGTTCTGGAAATAGAGGTGGAGATTTCATGACATTGTGAACATACTAAATGCTCCTGAATTGTTCACTTTCAACTGTTAACTTTGCTATATGTCAATTTCACATCTATTTAAGAGAGAGGGAGAGAAAAAGGGAAAAGAAATAAAAGACTCCAGGCCCAGACAGCTTCCCTAGAAAACTCTTCCAGATAGTCACGAGCAGAAAGCACCATCTTGAACAAACTCTCGCAGAGAACGTAAGAGGGGCATCACCTCTTGATTCTCGTGAGGCCAGATCAACCACGACATTATAAGAAGGGACAATTACAAACAAGTCTCTTATGGTCATAGATGGAAAAAGCCCTCAGCAAAATCAAATCGAGAGTTCAGCCGTCAAAGCCAGCAGGAAAGACAAACACACGCTGCTGATGAGAACGGGGGTGGGGAGGCAAACCGGTGCTACCTCGTGGAAAACTGTCTGTCAGCCATGTCCCCAAGGGTCCACCTACGCCACTGCAGGCACACACCAGGCACCAAAGCCAGTCCCGTGGACGGCAGTTCTATGTGTGAACCAGAAACTACTGACCAACAGTCAGAGAATGACAACACTGTAATGTATCCGCACAATGGACCCACAACTGCACACAGAACTCTGACGAGCCTCAAAGACACAGCCTAAGTGGAAGAAGCCAAATGTGGGGGGCCCCAACACATGACCACACTGACCAGATCCTAGGTCAGGGGCTGCGGCCGTCGGGAGCAGGACACCTGGAGGGACAATGGCATGCAGGCAGCTGGTTCCGACTCTCAGTCTCAGTTTGAGAAACCGGTAAGGTGAGACTTAGGACACGTGTGTCACCTGTCTGCGGGATGCTATATGCCAGTAAAACTAAAACACAGCAACAACTCTGTGAGAGTCAGGCCAAACGTGATCGAAATAAAACAATCAAAACAAAATGAAACACACGTCCAAGCCCCTGCTGTGTCCCACAGGTACAACCTGGACATCCTGTTGGGGCCCCTCCCAGGCACAGGCAGCCCAACCAGTCCTGGGAGGGCATGGATGCAGCACAAGGTCACTGCCAGAGATGTTCCTGAATGCGGTCAGCTGCTGTACGAGAATGAGTGGAAGTCGTTCTCCTACAGGGTCCCCCTCTCTCCTGGGCCAGAAGCCCCTCAGTGTTGCAGCAGGAGCTGTCCCCGAGTGGGCGGCATGGGCCAGTACCATAGCCTAGTCCAACTGCTCCTCACGGCCGTGAAAGGGCCTCTAAATGACCCTCTGACCTGACCCTGTACTAAGAGTCTCCAGGAACCAAATCTGCCACCCCATGAGCACCACACATGGCCCATGCCCCCATGGCTACGGAACAAACCTGCCAGGCAGCAGCAGCAGGGTGCCAGGGTCGGGCTCCTCCATGGCATCCAGGCACTCAGAGGGCACGGCTGAGCCACCCGCACTATCGGCGTCAGCCTCGTGCTGCAGCTCAGGGTGCACCAGGGTGCTCGTGTCTTCATCCGTGAAGGTCTCACACTCACTGTAGGTGCTCTCGGAGCCCATGTATGCGCTGTCTGTCACCTCTGTGGCCTAGGAGAAAGGGTGCTGGGAGTGAGTGGTGAAACATGGCCAGTGGCAGCCACAGGCTACCCAGATGGGGTGTGCAGGGGATGAAACCCAGCCACTGCAACAGGACAGCCCACGGTATTTCTGAGCAGAGACACCACCACAGAAGGCAGGAGTCAGTCATTTTAAACTGAAAAATCAGCAGCAGACAAGATCACTGGCAACCGTTAAAGTCAGTTAAATCTGTGCACGCAGAGTAGACACAGCCTGACGATAGACACCACGTCATCACGGCAGAGCTGCCTCACTCCGTGGCCGCAGCATCTGACCATCTGAGTCCAGGGAATCAACCCCTAAGTGTGCATGCTTTTAAGTCAAAAGCGGGACCATCAGTCTCAGCTATGTAGGCTCAAATCTCTGGGCCAACGTCAAAGCTACCTGACGCAAATCAGAGATCTCAAGTCCTAGTTGGTTAGGACTCTGTCTCCCCACTAGACACGTCTGTGGTTCTCATCTCATGTGCTCAGTGCCTGGCACGTGGAAGGAGATGGTAAACAGCTGTGGGTTGTGTGAATAACCTTAAAGCTAAGGAATCATTGAACAGGCCGCTGCCAATCTATAATCTCAACTTTAATTAAAATGCAGTCACAAGTTAGGAAGAATAGCAAACATTTTACGCTAAAAAGACTCAGAGATGAACTACCTTCCATGGGTCAGCTTCCAGAGGACCATGGCTCTGGCTAGAAAGAGGAGGACATGGGCTCCACGATGGGTCCCAACAAGTGGACAGTGTGGGCTAGATATGCTGTGGTGCCAAGGGCTACAGTGAGCGCTCACCCCAAGGTTGACAGGTCTGGGCAGCTGAGCCCTCAGAAGCCTGGGGGCCGTGACGACCCCAAGCTCTAGACTTCAGTGAGTTCGACCATGCGTGTACAATGGGTTACGTGTGAGCTCAGACATGCCTTGTCCACTCAAGCCAGGCACCGCACATGTACAGCAGGTTACATGAATTCAGAGACGCTTTGTCCACGAGAGCCTAATCACCACACATGTACAATGGTTATGTGAGCTCAGACATGCCTCATCCACTTGAGCCCAGGCACCACACATGTATAGTGACTTATATGAACTCAGACATGCTTTGTCCACTTGAGCCTAATCACCACACATGTACAATGGGTTATATGCGCTCAGACATGCCTCATCCACTTGAGCCCAGGCACCACACATGTATAGCGAGTTATATGAACTCAGACGTGCTTTGTCCACTCGAGCCTAATTACCACACATGGGCAGTGGGTTATGTGAGCTCAGATACACTTTGTCCACTTGAGCTCGGTCACCATTGTACAGTGAGTTACAAGTGCCAATCTCACTAGGGGCACCCAGAAAACGGCCAGGGGTGGGGCAGACATGTCAGGGAGGGATGCAAATCTTGCACTGGTTTGTAGGGTCAGGAATAAAGCCAGGGCTAAAATGGGCTAAAATAGTCTAGGCGGTGGTTACTCCTATCCAGTCTTTCCTACGACCTAAAGCAACAAGATCACTCATAAAAAAGTAACCAATTCAAGAACTCTCTCAGTGGGTTCAAATTGACAACAGAAACAGGAAAGGTTAGCTCTGATCCTTAGGGGAGGCAAGTTGATGTTCAGGAGCTCTGGTGGGGCAGTGGTGAAAGAACCAAAGATTGGCAGCAGTCTGAACCCACCAGCTGCTCCACAGGAGAAAGATAAGGCAGTCTGCTCTGGTAAAGATTATAGCTTTGGAATCCTGCGGGGCAGTTCTACTGTTCTCTAGGAATCAGCTCGATGGCAGTGGGTTTTTAGTGGGTGAAGTTCGTGTTAAGGGGGAGGAACCACTTGGAAAAGGAGGGTGAGCATGGCTTCACACCTCAGCAATGTCCTCTATGTCCCTGAATGCTCTGAAGGCATTTGAAGGGACTAGTGGTGCTCCAGTTTTCTCACTGTCCCAAAGCACACCTCTGCGAGCCAGGCCTGCCCACCCTGCTCCTGCCTCAAGAGGATGGGCCAACGCAGGGCTGGTGCCACTCGACTCCGGACCATACAGGACACACCGAGACGTCAGAGACAGGCCAGAGAGGCCCGGAACAGGCAGCCCCACATCACAGCGTCCGCCGCAGGGATGGCCCTGCAGACCGCAGGCTCGGCACCCAGAGTATACTGGGTGGGCGGTCTGAGGGCAGCAGCCATCACCCTCCCCGCACCACTGACTCACAGAGACTAAGCCAGCGACAGGAGGAGCAGCGTCGCTCCTAGTCTGGAAGGACAGTCAGTGGGGAACCCTGTCCACCCCTCCTTACCATCAGGGGTGCACGGAGGTCCTGCTGGGTGTGTAGACCTGGTTCTCTCCTGCTGCAGAGGGGAGGCAGCAGCCCTGCAGCCTCCAGTTCTCCTCTGCATAGAGTGAAACTCAGAACCTGAGGACTGGGGTCTTCTGGGCTGAGGGCCTGGGGGCTACAGCTTAGCCCCCCTCAGAACATGAGGCCAGTGCACAGAACCTCGTTCTCCACGGGCACAGGACACAGAAGTGGACATCTGGGAGTCCGTAACCCTGCTGGGCACCACAGCCCCATCCAGCAAGTGCATCTCCATTCTGGAGCCTTCTAAGCAGACAAGGGCAGCAGCTCACTCCACACTCCATGTCCTCACTTCTTAAGGTTACGTCCACTCCTCCCTGTACCACTGAGGAATGAATTCTGTACATTATACACTGTCTCCACTTTTCAGCTAATTTTATTTTTGCATTTATCCCAAATTTTCTTCCAATTATAGACAAAGGGGGATCGTGGAAACCCCATCCAATGTGGAACTACTATCGACATTCACCAGGGCCCTGCTGATGTGCTGGATAGAAGGGCCTCCCCATTGGAATGGGTGTTCTGGCGATGCAGAGGCCTCGGCTCTCCCCCGGGGCCAGGGTCCCCAACCCGTCCACTCCCTGAAAGTCTGGGCTGTGGGTTAGCTCTGATAGGTGAAGGCCACCCACGTCGTTTTCTAGGAGATGAGCCCATTCCCTCCAGCTTACAGTCCCCGAGTGGGAATGCATGAGCCATTCCCAGACAGGCCAACTTCTATAGGCACTCAGTCGGGACCTGGCTGTGCCCAGAAGCCCAGGAGTCCATACCACTGATTTCTAAAATCCTCAGATGATAGATCCTAAGATGAACCCAGTAACGGGCTCGAGCACAGCACCAACAGAGGATGGTATAGGACTGGGCAGTGCTGCACTCGGTGGGACACAGGGTCGCTGTGACTCAGAGCCAACAGCACAACACAACCTCGAGGACAGCAACCAGGACAGCAACCACGAGATGAGCTCGGGAGTCAGAACTGACCCCACAGTACCTAACAACAAAGATGAACTCACTGAAGAACTGAGTTCGGTGGAGAACTGCTGCATCCAGTCCTGTTCCCCAGGAACAGAGCAACCACAGTGACTCAGGTGAAGCCCAGCCAGTCAAGGCTCCTGCCATTCACCCATGTCCCCGCCCTCTCTGACGCTGTCTGAAATCAGGGGCACCACACAGGGCGGACTGCATCCCACACAGTCAAGCCGATCTTACCGCAGACGTCAGGCTGTGCGACCCTGCACCCAGGAGGATGGCTTCCATCAGCCAAGGGGCCCAGCTGAGCCCTGCTGAGCACGGGTGATGCTGGGTCAGCGAAACCTGCCAGTCCCCCTGAAGGCACATCCCCGCCTGGGAGAAAGTTTAACCCACGTCAGACCCACTCTGTTAACCTGCTGCTGGGGCAGAAGTGGGAGCAAGGTTCAGGAAGTGTTCCTCTGGGTTTGAACAAACTAACGCAGGCCTCAAGACAGAGCAGCCTTTGTTCCTGACTTTGACCTTTCTGATAATAGTCTGCATAGAAGGCACGTTGCCAGTGGTCCCGCTTGGGAAGCTCTCTCCTCCACAGGCCATGGGAGGAGGAGGAGGAGAGGAGGGAGGAGAGAGGAGTCGAGCAGAAGCCATGCTTCTTTGCTCAGCCCAGCACTCTGGGGTCTTCACGCCTGACTGGGCAGAGTGGCTTCTCATTGCCAGTCCCCAAAGGTGGGTGGTAAAGCTCCACTCAGCCCCCAGCACCATCCCTCACACAGAAGGCACCTCCAGTGGTTTCTGAAAGGAGCTAAGATTATCCGGCACCACAGCCACCAGACCAGCAGGCTTAGGACAGCACAGCTCCTCTGTCAGAAGGCCCTGAGCCAGGGTGTCTCCATAAGGTCAGGGGCCATAAGCTCTCCTGGTCAGCCATGGAGGACCCCATGTGACACATGCTATCACGCACACATCACATGCACACGCCACCAGATGCCAAGATCATGTGACTCACACCTTTCTTTAAAAGAGCAATCCTTCTGGAAGCTTCACAGTGCCTAGGCCCTGCCCCCAAAAGTCACATAAAGTTCAAAACAAGTGTGTCCTCCACTGTGAGATGACCCTGAGCGTCCAAGAGTCTCAGGACACTTTACACACTCCGAAAGAGCAGGCGGTGCGGGATCAAGCAGGCCACTTGCCTCATAGGTGACAAAATCGTCAAAGTCGTCAGGGCAGGCTGAGCTTTCCTCATCCTGGGCAGGGGCGACGCCATACAGGAGGCCCTCAGAATCTGCAGGAAGAAGACACAGAGTTGGTCCAGCAGTGAACCTGGACATCCCAGAAAGGTCGGGGCAGCTCCATGGCTGGTGAGCACAGGGAGGCTGGCCCGAGGCAGCCCCAAGGCAAGGGTCCTGGGGTTTGTGGCCAGAGGGCAGGCGGGGAGGCAAAATCCAGCACGGCCAGGCTATCCATGAGAAAGCTGAGTGTACCCTGCTGAGTGGGAGAGCCCACTTCCTCATGGAAATGATACACCTGCCAGAATTCTAAGGAAGTGGTGTGAAGAAAGAATAACGTTACTTTTATTTCTTAAAACAACTAGGCAGCACTGTAAAAGGAAAAGAAACTACCAAGCTCCATAAAAACTGCTTTCAGGATTTTAAAAGTGTTAGGTACCATTATTTGGAATAGTTGGAAAGCAGAAACAGCGTAAGCATCCATCAGCAGATGGTGGACACAGACCATGTGGTCCATCCACACATGGAATATTACTCAGCCTTAAAGAAGAACAAAGACTACATAAGCTGCAACACAGCTGGACCCTGATGACACAATGCTGAGTGAAAGAAGCCCAACACCAAAGGACACATACCATACGACCTCATTTACATGAAAAGGCTACAACAGGCAAAGGCACAAAGTTCTTAGTGGTGACCAGCAGCAGGTGGGAGGGTGAGGGGGTCTTCCTTTCTATCCAGGGTGATGAGTACATTATACAAACAGTGGTGATGGTTGCATGCTTGCACACATGCACATACACTCATATACACACATGCGCACATATACATGCACACACATGTACACACATGCACAGGCACACGCGTGTGTGCACGCGCACACACACACAGACATACCAGACTTCATTTTTTTTATGTGTCTGTGTTCAGGGAGCTACAGGAATAATGAATATTAAAGTTTGATTCTCTTCTGTTTGCTTCACTTCACCTTCTATGACATGTGTTTCATCTGACACAAAGAACCTTCTCGTGGGGGCAGGCCAGCAATGGAGAGCACGGCAGAGGCCAGGCCGAGAGGCCAAGGGCCAGAGAGGAGTGTCTGAGAGCACAGCAGAGGGGAGACTGTTTCCCTAGTGCGTTCCTGAACCTGAACTGTAGCCCATTACTTCCCTAGTAAATCCCATCACCACAAGCATGGTCTGTGAGTTGTGTGTGGTCATTGCAACAAATGACCAAACCCAGCAGAGAAGCAGTAAGTGCCACTGGAGGGAGAGTTGATGTCAGGATTGGTAAAGGCTGGAAGGCGGCAGTATGTTTGCCTTATAGTTGTTGGTGACTCTGTCTTCCTCTTGTAAAGTTAGAGGAGGTCAGAAGATGCCACTTCCCTGCCCTTTTTGCAATGGTTAAAAACATGCCGTTACAGAGTAGAAGAACAATGTGGAACAAAACTCAAAATCATTAAAAAAAACAAAAAAAACCCCACAGGTTTACTGGTCTGATAGAGCCTGGTGAGACCCCCGAGACTATGGCCCCTAGCTACCCTTCAGGTCTGGAACTAAATTCACTCCCGTGGCTTTCAGCCAAACAACAGACAGGTATTTGGGGTTGTGGTGTAGTAAATTACTTAATGTGGCTTTTCTACCCCTAAGTTTTGTAAACTCCAAGGTGGGATTTTCTATGAGCAACTGAGGAGCTCCTGATTGCTGAAGTTGTCCACCTGGAGTATTTCTGTTGGGAGCGGCACAAAACAATGTTCTGGGAGGTGTCCACTCTCTCTCAGGTGCTTAGAGTTATGATGCTGTGATTGGCTAGTTTGGCCAGTCTGCCAGGCTCAAAAGGAGGCCTCCTAGAGGCAGAACCCTCTCTGACTGCTGGTTGAGGAAGACGTGCTGCTGAAAGAGACATGCACCCCTGAAAGAGACATGTGCTGCTGGGAAAGAGATGCAAGAGATACGCATTGCTGAGTGAGACACCGAGGGACCAGCACTGCTGGGAAAGAGACTGTGAGAGACTGTTGGCTGAGGTACAGTGGGCTGGGAGAGAGACTGAGCGTTCTTCTTGAACTTGAGTTGTAGCCTGGTGCTTCCCTAATAAACCCTGTAATCTGTGAGTTCTGCGTGGCCACTACAGCGAATTATCGAACCCAGGAGAGAGGTGGGTGCTTTGGGAGGAACGGTTGGAGAAAGGGCTGGAGGGAGGCAGCATGTCTGGCCTGGCAGGAATAGGCCTTGGGTTACTGCTGGTAATCCTGTCTTCCTCTTGTGGGGTTCTAGGAGGTCAGAATATGAGGCCTCCCTGCCATTTTTGCAAGGGGTAGTCCTACAGATGGCAGGTTGGGCTGTTCCCAAGTGGATGGATGGTCCTGCAGACAGCAGGCTGGAGGCAGGACAAGCATGACCCCGCCCAGAGCAACCCCACAGTTTTGCTTTCCTTTCTTCTATGTGCTATGAAACCCTTTGATTCACCTTGAATCAGTTTTTCTTCTAACATCTTTGCATGGTAGACACAGTGAGGCCTGCCACTCCCCTGAGATCATCCTGTCCCAGGGTGGGAAAGAGATGGCCTCCAGGCAGAGTGGATGAGGGAGGGAAGGGAACAGGGGGCAGGGGTGCATGTGGGGAGACACAGTGTAGGAAAACAGCAGAGGGTCAGAGTCCCCATGCAGTGCCCCCTGACACATGCTCAGACACTCAAGATTTTTTTTTTTTTTTAATTGTGATTTGAGTGAGTTTACAGAGCAAATTCACTTTCCATACAGCAGTTCACATACACTTTGTCTCATGATGTTGATTACAATTTACCCCAACGCAACAACTCCCCTCCCACTTCCTCCCGATAGTTACCTCTTCCCTGTGTCCATCCCTCCATGCATTCCTGGCCTCTGAGCTGTCTCTCTCTGCATACACAGCCCTTCTTTTTCCCATGATTGATCTCTCCATGGAGTGTGTCTACCTCGGGTAAATGTTCTGTCTTTTGTTTGGCTGGAAGACACAGGTGTGGGTTCAATTCCAGATCTGAAGGGCAGCTAGGGGCCATAGTCTCAGTGGTTCTACGAGGCTCTTTCAGACCAGCAAACCTGGTCCCCCTTTTTTTTTCCCCAAATGATTTTGAGTTTTGTTCCACATTGTTCTCCCACTCTATCTAGGATCTCCTACATAGACCCCCCCACCTCCGAGTGGTTGACAGTGGTAGCGGGGCACCATCTAGTAGTTTCTCTGGCCAGACACCCAATATTTCTGTGCTGAGACAGAGTTGGCAGGGAGATGGCGAAGAGATAGTGGCAGCAGTAGCAACAGAACTGAGAGACCGACAAGAGACAGAGAGGCAGCCTGCCGCCCACAGAGCAAGAGAAGCACCGTAGGCTCCCAGCTGGTGTGGTGCAGGGAATGATCTGGTCTGCCTCTTCTCACCACAGTCTGGGTGGCTCACACCAGATCACTGAGTGGAACTATGCAAATGTGAGGTGTTCGTGGCTCACCAAGGGGAGTGGCTACCTTATTAACAATATAAAGAAGATACATGGCACCCTTGTGGGGGTGGAACCATGCAAATAAGGTGTATGGAACCCTAATGTAAGGATTAGTCAATTTTGTCATTCAACTAGGCTTACGATGTGCCCTCCCAAAGGCCTAAAAGGGGGATGTCATTGCCACCAAGAGAGAAGCAGCAGCAGTGGTGCATGTCCTGGGACCTGAGATCCTTGCTCAGAGAGACAGCACAGGGATGGCAGCAGCGAAGGCAACAAAACCAAGAGACCATCAGGAGACAGAGTGGCAGGCTTGCCAGCCCACAGAACAAAGAAGTTGAGTGTCTCTGGGCAGAAGGCTTGCTGGTGGAGTGGGATGCACCTATCAGCAGAGCTAACAGAGCATTGTAACACCTGCCCTAGCCGGGGGGGGGGGGGGGGGGGGCAGCCAGGCCAAGAGCCCAAGTGCCAGAGAGAGGCATGCCTATAGACATGGCCAAGGGGAGGCCATCTTAACTGAAGAATTGTATGCTGAGTATTCTTGAACCTGAACTATAACCTCTTACTTCTCTAATAAGCCCCATCCATAAACATGACTATTGTCTGCGAGTTCTGTGTGGCCACTGCAGTGAATTATTGAACCCAGCAGAGACGCTGAGTGCCTTGGGAGGGACAGTTGGTGTCAAAACTGGTGAGGCTGGAAGGTGGTGGCATGTCTGCCCTCCACCCCGTAGCAATCAGCCTTGAGCTGCTGATAGCAATTTTCTCTCCCCCTCATAAAGTTAGAGAAGGTCACAAGAGGATGGTGTCCCTGTGCCTTTTCTGCCTGTATTTCTGCTCCACCCTCACCTCACCTGCTTCCACCTGTACCACACCCCTCCCATGAGTCACTGTGCCCTTGTTATTGGGGTCTGTCCCCCACTACAGGGCCAGTTCTCAAGAGTAGGGACTTGGTCTTGCCTGGTGGTACTGGGCCCCAGGGCAGGAGCCTGAGAAGTTGGTGTACATCCCTCTATTTCTGGGTCACACTGCTAAACCCTTCCCTCCTTCCTACAAAACCTAGGTGTGCCTTCTCCCCAGCTCCTCCTTGTTCCCCTTCCCAACAGAAGCACAGAGATTGTTTCCTTATGATGTTTTGTTTTGGTTTTGTTTTTGTAAACTTCATTGTGATTTCACTGAAATTCACCTTCCATACAGCTGCTCACATACACTTTGTCTCATGACATTGACTGTGATCTCCCACAATGCAACAGCTCTCCTTCCTCTTCCTCCCCATAGCCACCTCTCCCCTGTGTTCTTCCCTCCCATGCACTCCTGTGTCTCGAGCTGTGTCCCTGTACATACACAGCCCTTCTATTCTCCCATGACTGATCTCTCCAAGGAGTGTATCTACCTAATGGAAATATTCAGTTCATGTGTCTTTCTTTTGTTTGGCTGGAAGCCACAGAGTGGGTTCAGTTCCACACCTGAAGGGCAGCTAGGGGCCATAGTCTCAGGGGTTCCACCAAGTTCTATCAGACCAGCAAACCTGGTCCCTTTTTGTTTTTTTATGATTTGGAGTTTTGTTCCACATTGTTCTCCCCCCCTTCTCTATCTCCTACGTAGATTCCCCCTCTGAGTGGTTGACAGTGGTAGCTGGGCACCATCTAGTTCTTCTGGTCTTACAGTCATACAGGCTGAGGATCTCATGGTCTACCACTCACTTGGACTAATTGTTTCCATGCATCTTTGGTTTTCTTCATTATTCTTTGCTCTGGACGAGGAAAGACCCATCACTGCATCTAGATGGCCACTTGCAAGCTTTTAAGATCCCAGTTGCTACTCGCCAAAGTAGGATGTAGAACAATGTTTTTGTGTAATATATTGTGTCAATTGAGCTTGATGTCCCCTGCGACCACAATCCTGAGCCCACAAGTCCAACTGCTTGCTCTCTCTGGGTAACTGGCTGTGGCCAAGATGTGACTACCTTGTCCCTTGTCAGCTCTACTATATACCTGGGAATTCTTACAGATCATACAAATACACTTGGAGAAACATTGTCTGCCAACCCTATACGTCATCATGGGCACACTTCCCCCTGTACAGACATACCTAATCATTCAGCCTGTCCACCCATCTATTCACCCATATACTAATGTTTGCCTTCACTGACAACGTAGTACTATCTGTGCACAAGGGTTCATCTTTGTTATCTGTATTTCCCATGCACCTCTCTGTGTCTTCCTCAATGCCACCGTGCTGATCACTCACATTTGGTACACTGCCCTTCTCTTCAACCAAATCAATACTTGTCTCTACCAGTGTTCCCGCCCCTCCCTCCTACCCCAGGTAGCCAACAAAGAAAATTTCCTTCCATATATAAACCTTTCCTTGACTTTTTACAATAACAGACTAATACAATATTTCTCCTTCTGTGATTGATTTATTTCATTCAGCATAATGTCCTCCAAGTTCATCCCACATTATGTGGTGTTCTGCAGATTCTACATTATTCTTCAGCGTTGCCTACTATTCTATTGTGTGTATGTACCATAGTTTGATTATCCATTCTTCTGTTGATGGGCACCTAGGTTGTTTACATCTTTCTGCTATTATAAATAGTGCTACAATGAACATGGGTATGCATATATCTGTTCTTGTCCTGGCTCTCACTTCTTTAGGATATATACCTAGTAATGGAATGGCTGGGTCAAATGGTACTTCTAACTTTTTAAGGAATTGCCATACTGCTTTCCAAGGTGGTTGTATCATTTGACAGTCCTACCAGCAGTATATGAGATACCATCTTGCCCCAGCATTTGTTACTTTGTGTCTTGTTGAACTTTGCTACTAGTGCTGGGGCAAGATGGTATCTCATTGCTGTTTTGATTTGCATCTCTCTAATGGCTAATGATCATGAGCATTTCTTCATGTGGTTGTTGAGTGCCTAAATATCCTCTTTGGTGAGGTGTCTATTCATGTCCTCTGCCCATTGTTTAATTGGATTATCTGTCTTTTTGTTGTTGAGGTGTTGGAGTTTTCTGTAAATTCTAGAGATAAAGTTCCTTGTCAGATAAGTCATTGCCAAGTATGTTTTCCCAACCTGTGGGTTCTCTTTTGACTCTTTTGGAGGAGTCTCTGAAAGCACATACAATCTAATGTTCAAAGATCTAGCTGATCTTCTGGTGCTTGTGCATTTTGGGTCATGCTGACAGTCTACTGATGCCCTAAACCTGCCCCTAGTTTTTCCTTGAGGAACTCTATAGTTTTAGGTTTCACATTTAAGTCTTTGATCCATCTGGAGTTAGTTTTTGTGTATGGTGTGAGGTACAGATCTTGTTTCATTTTTCTGCAAATGGATATTCAATTTGCCAGCACAATCTGATAGACAATGTCTTCCCATTAGGGTGTTTTTAATAGCTAATCACTTGGAAGCAAGAGAGAACCACCAACTGTTTAGGTCTGGAGGTGTAACCAGATCTCCAGGCCCACAAACCTCTCCAACAGGACCCAACTCTGAAGGCCAGATGGTGACCAGAGTGTGGGTGGCCTCATTTTCCCATCCTTGAAAGTCCTCATCAGGTGGACAGGCTGAATGATCAGGTATGCAGTATCCTTTTTCAGCAGCCTGCCATGTTCTGCTGACCTTGGGACTTAGAGTGGACTTAAATTAATGGCCTGCCGTGTGACTTGGTAACATCAGGACTGTGCCTTTGTATATGTCAACCTTGAGTTTGTCAGTCTCAGCAGCTAGCAGCTGTCTGAGTGAAGAAACGCTTCTAGCTCCAGTGGGCCAGGAGTAGGAGGCAGAGCTGGACCCCAAGGTTAAGGGGCTTTCACCCAACCCCTAGAGCCTGGAACTTTGGACTTGAACTTAAAGCCTCCAAACTGTGAGAGAATAAACTCCTGTTTGTTAAGGCCATCCCATTTGTGGTATATTCTTGTCAGAGCAGCACTAGATAACCAGAACATCTAGGAATGGGGGAGTGTGCCCATGACCATGTACAGGGTTGGCAGATGATGTTTCTAAAACTGTATTTGTGTGTGCTGTAAGAATGTCCAGGTGTCTAGTAGAGCTGACAAAGGACAAGGTTGTCGTGACTTCTTGGCCATAGCCAGCTATCCTGAGGGAGCCAGTAGTTGGACCTGTGGACTTGGAACCATGGTCACAGGGGACATCAAGCTCAATAGGCATAACACTACACAAAAACATTGTTCTACATCCTACTGGGGTCTTAAAAACTTGCAAGCAGCCACCTAGATACAAGGATGGGTCTCTCCTCATCCAGAGCACAGAAGAATGAAGAAAACCAAAGACACAGGGAAACAATTAGTCCAAGGGACTGGTACACCATGTGATCCACAGCTTATATGACTATAAGATCAGAAGAACTAGACAGTGCCCAGCTACCACTGTCAACCACTTTAAAGAGATCCTAGATAGAGTGGGAGAACAATGTGGAACAAAACTCAAAAACATTAAAAAAAAAAAAAAACAGGTTGAAAGGTCTGATAGAGACTGTGAGCACCTGAGACTATGGACTCTAGTTACCCTTTGAGCCTAGAACTGAACTCAATCCTGTGTCTTCCAGCCAAACAACAGACAGGCATATGGGGTGAACATTTACATCAAGTAGACACATTTCTTGGAGAAATCAATCCTAGGAGAACAGAAGGGCATTGTATACACAGGGAGACAGCTCAGGGGGCAAGAGTGCATGGGAGGGAAGGACACAGGGAAGAGGTAACTATGGGGAGGAAGTGGAAATACTTCTGTTACACTGTGGGGAATTGCAGTCAGTATCATGAAACAAAATGTGTATGAACTGCTGTAAATGAATTTGCTCTGTAAACTTTCACCCAAAGCAAATAAAAAATTTGAAAAATTTAAAAAAAAGGTTATTTCTCATTTAGATGTTTTCATGACAAATAAAAATTAAAATAAACTTTAAATAAAAAAGAAAATCTTCATCCCAATGCCTGCCCTGGGAAAGGAAAGTGGCCCTGCATGTCTGCCAACATCAAGAAAGAAGACATACAAAGGGCCAGTCAAGTCCAAGAACACATGTCCCACGCTGGAAGCACAGCACCTAATGCTGGGTCAGGCCCTATCAGAAGAGACTGGCCATCTTGCCTGAGCTTACTGCCTGACCACACCAGTGACTAGAATGTGGTGGATGCATGCAGTGGTGCTGTGAGGGCACCAGGAGAGACTGGAATTGCTCAGGTTGCATGCATCCAGGGCTGAGCAGCTACAGCCAAGAGTGGCCAGAGGGCAGTCACAAGAGCATATGTATAGGCCCAGTGGGAGAGGAGAGCAGGCCCCTGGCCTCAGCCCGCATGGCCTCCCCACATCCATCAGCCTCATGGCACTGCCACTGACAGAGATCTGCCCAAGTCAAGGCCCGAGTTGTCCTGACACTTATGTTACCTCCCAGGGCAGACCCATGAGGGCTCTGTGGATTCAAGGTCCACTGGAGGAGACACAGAAGCAGAAACATGAAGTCAGGAGGGAGGTCCAACTCAAGCCTGGGATGTGGGTGGAGGTATCGGTGTAAACCAGGGGAAGGCGCGAAAAGGGATGGTGTCTGCTGGGTGGGGCCATGCCAGTGCATCAAGGGAGCCACATTACAAGGAAGGGTCTAGATTCTGGCAACAGAGGGCTCAGGAAGACCTCTGGCCTAAGGGCCTCCTTCGCCCTGACCCCACTCCAAAAGAGCACATGTGACCTTGAGGGTTATGCCAACCAAAGTGGGCCCTACCCAACTTCACCAGGGGAGGAAGGAGGCATGGCTGACTAGGGCCTCTGCCCACTGTCATTCCACACCGTCCCCACATGTCCTGATGAAGATGGGGATGAGGAGGAAAGTTAATTCAGACCCTCAGCAGTTGATTTAAAGGGACCAAGTACGGAGCAGCTGGAGACAGGCAGACAGGGTGACTGCTGGGAGAATGGTTGGCACTGACCAGCAAACTACACTCACTCTTTCCATGTGACCCAGCCATACACTCCCAGGTATATGCCACACACAACGAAAAACACATGCTCTAAAACATCTTGTGTAGAACACTGTCAGAACTTTATTCTTAAGAGCCCCAGCCTGCAAAGAGCCAGTGTCATCCCAGGAGAATGGTCTCCACACTATGAGACACTGCTCCCATAGAAAGGGACATACCACTGATGTGTGCAGACAAATGGATGACTCCCAAAGACATGGCACTGAGTGAAAGCAGCCAGACACCGGAGCACACACCTGCTGCAGACACCAGAGCGCACACCTGCAGCAGACACCACACCACCCACCTGCAGCCACACACCGGAGCGCACACCTGCAGCCAGACACCGGAGCGCACACCTGCAGCAGACACCAGAGCGCACACCTGCCGCAGACACCACACCACCCACCTGCAGCCAGACACCGGAGCGCACACATGCAGCCAGACACCGGAGCACACACCTGCCGCAGACACCGGAGCACATACCTGCCTCAGACACTGGAGCACACACCTGCTGCAGACACCGGAGCACACACCTGCAGCAGACACCACACCACACACCTGCAGCAGAGACCGGAGTACACACCTGCAGCAGACACTGGAGCGCACACCTGCAGCAGACACTGGAACGCACACCTGCAGCAGACACCACACCACACACCTGCAGCCAGACATCGGAGTGCACACCCATATCCAGACACGACAGCACATGTCTGTACCTGGACACCTCAGCGCACACCCACACCAACAGCACAGCGCACACCCGTACCCAGACACCACAGTGTACACTGCTGGTTCCATTCACATGACATCCAGGAGAGGCAGAGCTCATCCATGGTAGCAGAAATCTACCAGGAAGCTGCCAGCAGGGGCAGGGGGAGAGTGGCTGACAGGAACAGCCTGTAGTGGTGATGATACCCTTGACAGCAATGTGCTTAGCATGTATAGGGACCTGCCAGAACTCACCGAAAACGTGTGCGCCTCATGGTGAAGAGCTATGACTCAGAGAAGGAACTGCAGACACTGAGTGTGAGTTAACAATATGCCTGCCCAAGTGTTTAAGTGAAGTATGCTGATTTTAAACCAATCTTATATACACAGAGACACACACAGATACCATCTCACATACACATGAAAAGACATACATCACACATATGCCACACAGACATGCACACGCCCATATACACATGAACTGATGGACAGGCAAAAGGATGGACTGATCAACAACAGAGCAAACATAGGACAGGTATGGTAGAATACTGGTGGCAAACTTGTGTGTGTGTGCTCACTGTGTAATTCCTTCAACATTTTTGCACGTTCCAAATTTTTCATAATAAAGCCTTTGACAACAGGGTGCTAGCTCTCTACCATTTGGGGTAAGTAGCCAAGTGAACACAGAAGGGAGGGTGGGTGAGGACAAAGAACAAAACAGGAGGGATCACCCGGAAAGCAGGCTGTTTGGGACTGCTAGGAAAAGGGAAGCTGCCAAGCACGGACACAGCAGTCTGGTGGCAGGAGGGTCATTCCACAGGTGACTTAGGGGCTGAGGTGGGGAAAGCAATGAGGAAGGGGCAGACTGACCTCCGTTTCTGATGGCCAAAATCCCTCTGTAGAAGTCTTCAAAGCTGATCACCCCGAGCCCACCAGGGTCCAAGTACTTGGTTAAGTCCTTCACCTGCAATTACCAAATGAGAATGTTATTCAGGGGCCTTTCCAAAATGAGGGACTGTATCACACACTCAACCCTCACCCCACACAGACAGGCAGCTGCTTGCGACTGGTACAGGGTTGACAATAGGAGCCAGGGGGCTGACCCGGCCACAGCAAAGTCTCTTGATAGGCCACTCAGCCAAAGGTCTGGGCATCAAGGGATGAAGCTGTCAGCAGCTCCCAAGACTGCAAACCAGGGAAAGAAGGCACAGCTCTCAGAGTCAGCACTGGTTGAGTGGGAGAGTCAGGATTGCGGAAGCCTGAGCATCCAGGATACTGACGTCCACATAAATCTACCCCACGCCCAGGCAACCTCCTCCAGCTGTTAGCCCTCCAGAGAAAATTGTCTGGGCAAACAGAAGCTGAACATCAGAAACAATAAAAAGTGAGTAATTCCTGTACAGAAGACAGGTTTCTATTTCCAAGTACACTGGATTTCATCAAAACAAAACACTTTTGTGCATCAAAGGAGTTTGTCAATGAAGTGAAGAAACAACTCATGGGCAACTAGTTGCAGTACAGCCACACAGAGGAGTGTTCCAGAGGACTCGACAGCACAGGATATGTGCTGAAGACAAGGAGAATGACAACACGCCCTCTTAACTGCACTTCAGCAATCCTGATTTTGGTGGCCACGCTGGGCATTGTTCTCCTGAAACGACAGTGTGGGTGTTACTATCCTGACGTGGTTGTGTGGGTACTGTGGCTAAAACAAATGAGCGGTAAGTAATAATCTAATCCATCCTTCCAAGCCTTCCTGACAAGCAGGGTCTCAACATGGTTGGGAAGCAGATGAAGAGCTGACAGGAGGTAGCAGGCAGACAGGCTGGAGTCCCGACTCTGAATTCAGAGCACCACTATGAAGTCAAAGCCAGGCTTTTCTGATGCTGGCCTCTTGCAGTTGCTCAGTAACAGTGAGTACCTCTAGCATCCAGACTTTGGTTTCAAAATCCTGTCTCCTGTCTCCCCGTAAGAGGAAGCAAGAGCCTTGGAGGAGCCCCAGGAAATGCACAAGAAGAGCCCGCAGTGTCTTGTCTACCAAAGACCACTATGCTACAGGTCTGGTCAAAGAGTGTGGAGTCAACCTGGAGAGGGCCCCATCAGCTAAAGTGAGACAGCACAGGCACTGGTAAGAACAATGACAGTACATGACACAGCACACACAACTAACATCAGGAGGTGTACACTTAGAAACATGGTCAAACGGCAAATTTCTGTTACACACATTGTATTACAATGAAATTAAAAAGGACAACTGCAATGAAATGAAAGACACCCAACAGATTTAAACATCTGAGGGCAGAATCACAGTTGAAACTAAAAGGTCATCCCCGGAGGGCACTATTTTGAAAACTAGTGGGGAGTGGGAGGGACCAGGCATCTCTACACCCGGTACCTTGTGGCGGCCAGAGAGCCTATGGGAGAAGCGTCTCTCGGAGAACAGTCCCACAAGTAAACGGAGGAACAATGGAATTGGAGCGTGACCATACTGCAAGTCTAGGTAAGGGTTAAGGAGTTGAAGTGATGTATTGGATAAGGCATATGGCTTCTAACCAGAAGGCCAGCGGTTCAAACACATCTGCTGCTCCGCGCAAGGGAGACAGGGCAGTCTACTTCTGTAAAGATTTACCGCCTTGGAAGCCCAATGGGGGTCATTGTGAATCGGAATCGACTGGATGGCCATGAGTTTGGATTTGATTTTGGAGGCAAGAAAGACAGAAAGACAGGCTGCCAGATGTCGTGTTCTCCTGATAGGAACATACCACCTAAACCAAACTGATTGATCAAGCTCTTCGGTCCCCCATACGACCAAATGGAAATCCAGAGATGAAAGGAAGACATTTCAACAATACCAAGAGGTGAAATCAGCAAGAGCCCAGCTATGAGAAAGTCGAAAGACAGATCAATGACCTGTTTTTTCCAAGAAAAAAAAAAAAAAAAATTAAGCAAAGCAATGACATTGGGGACACTAAGGTGACATAACAATCTAAGGTCACTTGAGGACTCTTCTGGATCCTGATTCAAATGGACCAATAGTAGCCCCCTAAAAAAAACCTGTAAGACAATTAGAAGTTTGAATACTGATGCCATCTGAGGATAGTAAAGAACAAAATGTTATAGGTGTGTTAACTGCTTCACAGACACACTTACTGGGATACTTCCAGAACCCACAGAAACAAGAGGGCAGGCTAAGGAGAGGGCAGAGGCACAGATGGCGCACACAGACTCTGAGCTGGTAGTTGGCAACCGACACCTGGGAGCCCTACACCAGACTCGCCATTCTGTACAGGTTTCAGTTGTTCCATAATTGTTCTTTTTACAAAGGATGAGAGAAAAGAGAGGGAGGAAGCGACAGAGGAAAGGGAAGAGGAAGTAAGGGAAGGAGGGAAAGAAGAGGGGAGGGAACAGGACTCAGCTGGGGGAGAGCAGACCTCCACCCACACTCAGAGGAGAGTTCAGAGGAAACCCTAGAGGGGGACAGGCGACATGCGGGGATGTTCCAGATGGAGAGGTAGACCAGGCAACTGCAAAAGGCAGAGAAGCGTCCAACTGAGGCTGTGGCTAGCACCACTGAGATGCAGCATGAGACGTGACAAGGTACACAACGCAACACCCAGGAGAGACGCAGCACGAGAGCGGACACAGCACCAGAGCAGACGCAGCACCCCACGACAGGAAGCAGCTTGTGACACGGCACCTGTAGGAGCCAGAGACACCCTGGTGCAAGCAATGAAGAGGTGTTGGTGAGAGGAAACTCATGGGATCCAGGATGCACTGTGGTGGGTCCTCGCAACATGCAACACAAAACCAGGCCCACATGGGACCAGTGCACAGTGACCGAACCAGCAGTGTGTGATCTTAGGCCAGAATCCGAGTCCCTGCTTCGCGTCCACTGAAGGAAAGGATGGCACCTCAGCCACAGCACTGTCACCAGCAGTCCCGAGTGGAGCTCTTCATCAAATGGCACCCTCCCCAGTTCACAAGCACCTCCAATCTAAAAGCCCACATATAAAAGTGATATCAAGAGAATCTTGCCCACATCTGGAGGTTATCCAATTCAGAATCCACCTGGCCAATCTATCCTTAAATTCTTAAGAATTCCAGCACTAAACTACTAATTGAACACCAAGTCCCAAGCTGTTCATTCTGAAACAAATCTTTAGCTAAAATTAGGCCCCAACACGTTACCACATTATAACCAGATGCAGACAGTGCTGTTACTCAAGGATGAATCTAAGTACACTACACATCTGAAAGTCCATTTTAAGCTGAGATTCTTTATAATTGGTTTAAACCAATTCTGCCATGGTTGACAATTCCAGAGGACTCTAATCCTCCAAGCCCAGGAAACCTCACTCAGAGGCTTTTAGAAAAAAATGAAAGCCACCCCCTTTCCTAAGAATGCAGCAGAGCCAGGACACTACGCGCAGTGATATACACGAGTGTGGGAGAGGTGGAGCAAGCCACAGACCTCAGTGCGCACAGTTCACACAGAAGCTGAGTAACGCACAGAGCTGGCTCCTAGGGCCGTGTTCTAGTGGGAAAACGTACTACAGATGGGAGCCAGGAGAGTCCAGAACAAGTGCTCTGACCGCAGGCCACCAGAACCCTAGAACCACATGTTGAAAGTGCCACTGGGTGGTTCCGTGGCCCCTCATGGCAAAGCACCCCCCAGGGGAGCCCACCCTACTTCCAAAGCTCCATTCTACTACAATGGCCAAAGGGTAATGTCCTCAACAAAGTTCACTGTGTCAGGAACCATGGTGATGATAAGCATGGTGCTCCCAGGAGCTGCCCAAGCACACCGCGAACCCTACACTAGATCAGGGGGGTGGCAACAGGGAACAGGGGATCTAGAGCTGGGTGGGTAAAAAAGACCACAGAAGGTGCTTTCTGCACACCACCCTGACACCAGCAGCTCGAACCAATGCAGATACACGTCCTTCTAAGACTATCTATGAATAAAGACCAGAAGCCCTGATATCTTTGAATTGTGGTGGTGGTGAAGAATACTGAATATACCACGGACTGTCAGAAGAAGGAACAAACCTGTCCTGGAAGAAGTACAGCCAGAAGGCTCCTTAAAAGCGAGACTGCCCAGACTTCATCTCACCTACTTTGGTCATGTTATCAGAAGGGACCATTCCCTGGAGAAGGACATCATGCTTGGTAAAGTAGAAGGTCAGAGAAAAAAAGGGAAGACTTTCAATGAGAGGGACTGACAAAGTGGCTGTAATGATGGGTTCAAACACAGCAACAACTGGCAGAGGACCGGCCCTTTGTATGTAGGGTTGCTAGGAGTCAGAACCGACTCAACAACACCTGACAACAACAATGAAGCAGCTAAACACACACACAAACAGGTTTTCCCTGCTGCTCACAAGATGTCATCTCAGACGTTCCCAGCTGCACAGGCCCCTGCAGCCCAACAGTCAACCCCTGAGGGACAGCTGCCTGGTGCCCGGATCTCTACCACAGACACAGCTAGTTAGGCTGTTCTGCACCTGGAGGTGGAGGCCCGTTCAGCTTCAACACCCAAGACACCACACCCTACAGCCTACATCCTACCTGTAGCATTCTACAGAAGAGCAAACACCACAATTAGAAAAGATGAGATTCCCTATAGTTTGGGAGGCAGGAAGGACACATATGTTGGTTCTTTACTGACTCCTGTGGAAACAAGCCTGGAATATTTCAATCAAACTGTGCTTTCACTATGACCTGAGGACTGCGGTTACTTCTGGGCAGCACAGGGGAGGAGGAGGGGGAAGGATGGAAAAAGGGTGCAGAGAAGGCCCCAATCACATCTGCTATGTTTTATCCCTAAAAGGAGGGAAAGCAAATACAGAAAGATGTTAACATCTATTAACTCAGAGGGGCTGATGAGACAGTTGATAATATCAAGGAATTCTTTTTAAGATGTGATAATGGCATGTGGTTGTTTTTTAACAAGAATCCCCGTCC